CTATTAAGCAATGTTGAACCCATGAGGTATTGGCTACATTAATGTTATATCTTAACAAAAATAAACAAAACAGGTACGGTTTCACCCTCATGTGCTCATTCTCCCGATATTTTACTTTAATGCACTGTTAAGTCTGTTATACTTTATATATGATTTCTATATCATAATTAACTTCGTGTTTTTATTCCTGTCCGTAGCTAACATAATTTCTCGTACACACCCCGCATTACTCTAGCCCAATGATACAATATCCGATTTAAACATTTTAGAGGGAAGTAACCGCTTAGAAAAATACGTGCCAAACAGATGGTGGGTTATCTTTCTTATATAAAGTGTGTTAATTCGATGTATATTTTTAATTCAACCGTAAAAATAATTTATATTCATTATTGTAGACAAACGCTACTCATAAGTTTAAAATTGCAGGATAATACATAATGAAATAACAATACCATACCTATCAATACACAAAGTTAACAAATAGGGAAAAAAACAGAATTCCTAAAGAAAGCCCAACACGACAAAATTGTAAATTGATGCAGGCTCGGTTTGATTGAGCCTGTTCATGGACGGTACTGGAGCGTGCAAGTTACCGTCCACGCCACCTAGTACCGTCTTAAGCAGAATTCAACATTTAAATACGAAAATGGTGAAATTTTGAATTTAGATACATCCGCAGATGTGTCCATATGGCGGTTATCATTGAACCTTCAATGTCACACAGTAGCGCCATTCTATGAAAAGCGGCGTATGGTCCCCAAATAAAAGAATCCGTATGCCCTAAACAAGAAAACAATTGGCGGAACTTTATAACATAGAATTTTGAAAGGGGATCTGGGGTTATGAAGCCTGCATATCACAGACAAGACGTCAAAAGACAAATTTAAAAAGCAGACAACATATCATAAGGGTGATTATACAGTATTCAAGTAGGAATACTGGAACCACCCAAGTTGAAAAAAGGCCAAAAAAATCGTTTATGTCTGCAATTTATTTAATTTATAAAATCATCATTAATAAAACTTCCATATAATTATTAAAATGGTTATAAAACTATATTCCAGTGATTTATGGTCACGTGCACGTGATCACTGGCTGACAGTGAGAGGTGATTATGAATAAGAACAATGTTTTATTAAAACTGTATTCCAGTCTGGTTACAGGAAGACAGCGACTTATTAACTAGTATGAACAAGAACAAGTACAGTTTTTTATTAAAACTATATTCCCGTGATTTATTTTGCACAAACATATATACAAGTTCGCCAATACGTTGTTACAGTGAAAAGATTAACATACATGACAAAAGTATGGCATAATTATTCACATCGATATTAACAATAAATTCAATAAGTTACAGACATAATAGCTGTTACTTTTTATATATGCAAACTATAATACATGACATACATTACACATGTAAATGATTGTAAATTTCCATAGAAGGTCATAGTTAACAATTATTTTTATTTTTGCATACAGAGTGTGATAATTTTTTTTTACATATTCGGTAGTTTTTATTTAAAGTAAAGTAAAACGACAATGGCAATGCACAATTGTTTATAGCAAGAAATGATGTAAAAAAACAACAGCAAAAAACAATACACATCCCATATATACAAATGGTTAGTATTAGTGCAGAGGCAATAATAACTCTTCTGTCTTTAATTTTAACACTAACGAATTGAATCCATGTTCAGTAAGCATTTAAGTATCTATGGTACAAAAAAGTGTTGAATACAATAGCAAATTGTATAATGAACCGTGTTTCTCTTTAAGTTAAACCCCTGTCACACTAGGGCGGCGTTCTCACAGCGTCCAAAGAAAATTCAGAACGCCAGGGTGAGCGCAGTAGGATCGCAAACATCGCCGCAGAATCGCTATAGCATCGCAGTGTCATCGCATAGAACGCCGACCGATGGCGCGCATTTTGAGAATGCTCAAAACAAACGCATTCACTCGGCGTTCTGAAAAGAGCGCTGTGGGATCGTAGTAAGGACGCCGTAGCAACTCAGTAACATCTCTTACAACGCAACAAGAGCGCCGTGAAAGCGCTGAAGGATCGCCGAATAAACGCCGTAATTAGCCACGGCGCTTGTACGGAGATTGTACGGCGTCTCTATAGCGTTTATACTGCGTGTGTACGGCGCTTTCTTTTTCTGCGACTCTACGGCACTGTCACGGCGATCATTGCGCACTCAAGACGATTCTACTGCGTTCATCTGAAATTGCAGAATACGCTACAGTAGAATCCCTACTTAAGACCACACCAGAATTAAGACCAACCCTCTAATTAGTCCCATTTTTTAAAAGAACAGAATTTTCTGTTTGTAATGTTAATGGTTACATGATCCACAATTAAGACTACCCCACTTATCCACATTTAAGACCACCAGCTTTAGTCACAATTCATTGTTTTATTTATCTAACCCCACTGCTGAGACTACTGATATTCCAGTAAAAACCTATTATGATAACAAGTTTTTGTTATTCATCTGCTTGAAACATTGTGTAAAAACTGTTATGATTAGAATATTGTATGAAGGTAAGGCAATAAATTTCAGATTGGGGTAATGTTCAGTTTCTGCTCATTTTTATGACGAATTAATTTCTTGATTAATAGGTGAATTACGTACATGAAACAAGACCTATGAAAATATGATTTATACATTAAATATCGTCAGATTAATGTTCTTATTAGGATAAATAAATATTATAACATCAGATTACAGTAATATTGAAGGGTATAAAAAGCATATAATTACACTCGTATTTTTCTAAATTCAAACGATTAGATTTTTTACTAGATGACATTATCTTTCGAACATATTTAATGTTCATGACAACATGAATCATTTCTAATGAAAACATAATCTTCGATATCATGTTATTTCTAAGCCATTTTGACCAAATGTTGGCATTGTAATCTTTCTTTTTTACCACACGATATACGAGGGTTTTCCGGAAAATCCATATACTATCCCACACATACATATAAGAATATATATGAATATATATAATTATATAATATCTAACAAACACATTTGCAGAAAATATATTTGGCTGTGATGAATATTTACATTATAAGAGTCAATACTTATAGATAAATTGTCACGGACCACTTTCACCACGTCATAAGCGTAAAGAAACTTTTGTTCTCATTATTTCTCGAAATAACGCCTACACCATATCACGCATTTTCTAATGTCTGCTTTCCCATTGCCTATATATATTTTTGAACCAATTCCAATCGAAACCGTACCAAATACCGTGTATTTAATAATGATTATATATAACATGGTTCTAATAAGTGTGTTAGTGTTATAGATGTACGTCAAGCGGATCTTGGTCAACTGCAGGTCTTTTTATGTGGAACTGAAAAGAAACAATGTTAAACAATAATCAGAAATTGTGAAAGTTATTTATGGAATATTGAGATGACTATCTTTCTACAATATATGTTTTTGAATGTTAATGTGAAGGAAGAGTACTTTCTTTCAAAACGTATGTAATGCTCAAGCACAGTAGTACTTTTAGTAATTTGTAACTTCGGTGTTGCAACATTTTAATTCATTTCTAATTGGCAATAATAATAATAATAATAATAATAATAATAATGATAATAATAATAATAATAATAATAATAATAATAATAATATTAATAATAATAATAATAATAATAATAATAATAATAATAAATAATAATAATAACGATAATAATAACTATATTAATAATACAAATAATAATTATTATAATAATAATAATAATAATAATAATAATAATAATAATAATAATAATAATAATAATAATGATAATGATAATAATAATAATAATAATAAAACATCAACAACATTTTCATTGCAATTTTGTCTCGTAAAAAGTGTACATATATGTACAATAAATTCTGGTAATAAAATAAACATCAAAACATACACTGTTTTCAAAATTTATTTCATAAAACATACTTTTTAATCAGAAAATTAATGGCATTTATTTGTTAAGCTACAATTATTTAAATGTTCTTTATCTGAACAGTGGCTTTTTTTTTATCAAATTGTGAAATTATATAATTAAATTAATCTTTTCGACATTTTCATCCTTTTACCTCTTTAACCCTTAATTTGAAACAAATGAATGAGACAAAACATTCGTTTTTAAATTATAACATTAAAAACGAATAAGTGTTTTCATTATATTTTTTGTTTCATCACTTACTGAAGACAAGTGAGTAGCAGAAAGAGAAAACTTTACCATACACCATGGTAAATGTAATAAACTTTTACCTGTCCTTTTTGGGGCATACCATCAAGGAGGTAGTCCCAGGAAAAATGTCCATCTCCATGTCCATCTAAAAATAAAGTAAAATCATGACAATGTACGGTAACATTATTTGATGTTGAAAGTGGTCGGAATACGGAATAGCGGACCGGTCGTATAATCGGACCTTCCGACCATTGAAATATGTAGAGAAAAAATTGGTTCTTTCAAAAACTGCCCGTATTATCGGATTGGTCGTATTTTCGGACCGGTCGTTAAGCGGAACTTTACTGTATTCTTTTTATTTTAAAGAATTACTTAACAATTGGATAAAACTATAAAAAAAATCATGATGCAATTTTGGTAAATCCTCCCGATACAATTATTGATGAGTCACCATTATACCTACAGCTTGCCACTTTCATTATAATATCCAGGTTTTGGAAAAAAAAAAAAAAAAAAAATTAAAAATTAAAAAAAAAATTTTTCAAAATTACAAAAAAAGGTTTTTGTCCAGAGAAAAAAAATTTTTAAAAATCAAACAAACCAAAAAAATTTTTTTCCCCTTAAACTTTATTTTAAAATAAAAGATTCAATTAATTTAAATTTTAATTTTAGCACAAAAAAAATTTTGTTAAAATTTTCTATTTTGACCAAAAAAAAAACCCTTTGGCCTAAACCCAAATTTTTCAAATTTTTCCTCCAAATCATTTTGTAAACAAAAACCCGTGCTGAAAAAAAAAAGCCTTAAAAAAAACTTTTTTAAAATTTGGGTTACTGTTTTTAAATTTTGAAACCAAAAAACCAAATCGAAAAAAAAAGGGCCTTTTTTTATTTTTAAATAATTTTTTTTTGGAAAAAAAACCCTTATTTTTAAAAAATTTTTCCAAAAAAAGTATTGGGGAAAAATAAAAAGGGGCCAAAAAAAGAAACCCCCTAAAATTTTACAAAAAAAAATTTAAAAAAAAAAAACCAAAAAAAAAAAGGGTTAAAAAAAAAAACCTTTTTAAAAACCTTTTTAAAGACTTTAAAACTCAAAAAAAAAATCAAAAATTCCAAAAAAAAAAAAAAAAAAAAGGGGAAAAATCCAAAAAAATAACTTAAACCCGAATTTTTAAACCCCCGGAACGCGATTCGGCCGTTTTTCAATGTTTAATTCCCTTTTGGCGGCGTTCCCCTACAAAACCCAAACCCGCCCCCAACAAAAAAGCCCCGCCCAAAGGCCCTTTTTTTTCAAATTGCCCTTTTCCGCCCACCCCCAAAGGCGCGTATGGGCCGGCTTTACCCAAATTGTAATATTTTGGGGTTTAAATTAAAGGTGTTATCCAACCCCCAACAAGGCCCGTGGGGTTGCCCAAGAAAACCGGGGACGGTTTTTTTTCCTTTTGTTTTGTGGTAGGAAAAACAAACAAAATAAAAAATTTTTCCTTTTTGGTTGTTGTCGCTATTTTCCAACAAATTTACACATAAGCGTACCAAATCAGCCACCTTTACTTAACGGTTTTTAAAAAAATGTTTCTCCTACATCTAAATATCTTTTTTAGTATTACATGTTTTTCGAGTGTATAGTCTCAAAGAATATATACTTGCATTATCAATTGAACACTATCTGTTACTTTTACAATTGGTTTCAAATTTTACGGTATTTTCTTTTTTCTATAAAACAGTAAATTTGAACTGATTTTCTAAACTAGCATGAGATTACCTATAACTCAATTAATATGAAAAGCATCCAAAGGTCGGACAAACAATATGTAAAGCCAGTACGGATTCGATTTATGCCGCTCTGCAATATCGTTCCTATGGTTACAAACTATTAAATTAAAACCAAGTAATGCTACGGCGTTATTATTTTTTTAAGGCTTACCACCATGTTTACCTTTTCTGTAAGACCCTTTCCCGTTAACCCTTTACCTCATATGAACAGCGCTACTTTTCTCCCTTCAGACTTTAAGTCTAAATTTCAATACACGTGTAGTTATTGATGGAACCGAGTGTCCATAAAAAAATCAAAGGCCCCAAGACCTCAACAAGCGACATATTCAACCTATAAAGAACAGGAATACAGTCAAAACTTGAATTGGTGCTTCACCATGAGGGGTCGTAAAAACATATATATTTCCTTTATATCGGTAGATCAATAAGTGACAGACAAATTGTTGAACGTAGTTCTTTATTCACCATGTGTGTGATCCTGGAGATTCAATAATGGCCGACATAGGATTTAATGTGCAGGATTTGTTTGCGCCTTACAATTTGACAATTAATTTGCCAACATTTTTCAAAAAAGGAACAGAATGTCCGGAAAATTGTTATGAAGGACTGCCAAATTTCCAGTAAAAGAGTAGGCCTACATATAGAACGCTTAATTGGTCTTGAAAAAAACATACAAAGGGTTTTGTGTCATCCAAAGAAGAAGAAGAAAAAGAAGAAGGAAACACAATACACACAAAGAATCCGATAATTTGAATAATTTGAAATAATAACTTGATGAAGGTCGTATAGACCAAAACTAGTAGACCCAAATTAATATTGTAAACTTGCTCTGGTGTTGACGTGTATTACTCGTTAATTCATATTTCCTTGGTTGAAATAATTTGAAATAAGCATATAGCAGAAGAAAATAAGAACTTGAAACATAGAAAGTATAGGGATTATTAATGAAAATAGTAGCTAGATCCGTTAAGGTATAATAAGCTAAAGCTTAAAGTAAATATCTAAAAGATAATTTGAGGCATAAAGGACAGTTAAAACAATATATTACACGTTATAAATTTACCGCACTTTAGTACAGGAAAATGAACATTATATTTACATCCTAATGATCTCTATAGTTGTCAAACAGATAAATGCGGTTTTTAAGAGTTTCCAAATGAAATTTGTAAAAAACAACAACAACTAACCTGCCCTAGACAGGCGTAATTTGATAAGAGAAAGAGCAAAACGTCCACCGTACGTCATTGCTTTATTACTTGACACGGCACGTGTTAACGAATCGTTCTGAGGTCATATTGCATAGCTGGGACTTGATTCTCTTAGAGCTGGGACTTGATATCTTAGAGCATGATTTGGGCCGTTATATTAAAGTTGCTCGGACTTGTACATTAACGTGCCACGACAGGGCCTATATATTACTATATAAGAGTGCACTGGCTTTCACCTGTACATTAAAAGTGCACGAACAGGGTCTGTATGAAAATTCTAAGAGCATAACTGGGTCTATATATCTAAGTGCACGTGCTTTTGGTGTATATCTAAGTGCTCGACCTTGGCCTGCATAATCTAAGTGCATAGCTGGGCCTGTATATCTTTGTGCATGGCTGGGTCTGTATATCTAAGTGCATTTGCTGGGTCTGTTTATCTAAGTGCATGGCTGGACCTGTATATCTTAAGTGCATGGCCTGGACCTGTATATCTTTAGTGCCATGGCTGGGTCTGTATTCTAAGTACATAGCCTGGGCCTGTATATCTTAGTGCATGACAGGGCCTGTAAATCTAAGTGCATGGCTGAGCCGGTATATCTAAGTGCATAGCTGAACATGTATATCTTTCTGCATTTCTGCATGGCTTGGCCTTTCCATTTCTTACTTGCTTAGACTGGGCCTTGTATTATTTATCCGTCTCCTAAGTACATACTGGGCATGTTATATCTTAAGTGCGTGGCTTGGAATGTACTTTATCTATTGTTTCCCAGCCCGGACCTGTTTAAATACAAAGGGTATTAAACTTTTTCAAACGTCTGGGCTTGAAATTAAAACCCCAAAATTATTTAAACGTACTAAAGGGTTTTCCCATTTTGTTTTTAAACCCTTTTTTACAAAGCGAGTATTTTTACCCCGGGGATTTAAAACGGGGTTTTTAAAAAACAAAACCGACAAGTTTTTTCCCTGTTTTAAAAGAGTTTTTAAGGGTACTAAAATTTCCCTTTAAAAAAATTTTTGACTTTTATAGCTTTTTAAAAACCTTTATTTTTAAATTTAAATCTTTTTAACAATTAAATGGCCCAGTCGGTTGGGTTATTTCCTGACTTTGGCCCTCTACTTTCAAATTTTTGACGTTTTAACCCTCGCCCCCACTGAACTTGAATTTTGATTATTCCCCTTTATTAACAATGTTGAACCCATGAGGTATTGGCTACATTAATGTTATATCTTAACAAAAATAAACAAAACAGGTACGGTTTCACCCTCATGTGCTCATTCTCCCGATATTTTACTTTAATGCACTGTTAAAGTCTGATATACTTTATATATGATTTTCTATATCATAATTAACTTTCGTGTTTTTATTCCTGTCCGTAGCTAACATAATTTCTTCGTACACACCCCGCATTACTCTAGCCCAATGATACAATATCCGATTTAAACATTTTTAGAGGGAAGTAACCGCTTAGAAAAATACGTTGCCAAACAGATGGTGGGTTATCTTTCTTATATAAAGTGTGTTAATTCGATGTATATTTTTAATTTCAACAGTAACAATAATTCATGACAAAACGCTACTCATAAGTTTAAAATTGCAGGATAATACATAATGAAATAATAATACCATACCTATCAATACATAAAGTTTACAAATAGGGAAAAAAAAGAATCCCTAAAGAAAAGCCCAACACAACAAAATTGTAAATTGATGCAGGCTCGGTTTGATTGAGCCTGTTCATGGTCCGGTACTGGAGCGTGCAAGTTTTACCGTCCACGCCCCCTAGTACCTGCTTAAGCCAGAATTCAACATTTAAATACGAAAATGGTGGAAATTTTGAATTTAGATACATCCGCAGATGTGTTCATATGGCGGTTATCATTGACCCTTTAATGTCACACAGTAGCGCCATTCCATGAAAAGCGGCGTATGGTCCCCAAATAAAAGAATCCGTATGCCCTAAACAAGAAAAACAATTGGCGGAACTTTATAACTTAGAATTTTGAAAGGGGATCTGAGGTTATGAAGCCTGCCATATCACAGAAAAAGACGTCAAAAGACAAATTTAAAAAGCAGACAACATATCATAAGGGTGATTATACAGTATTCAAGTAAGAATACTGGAACCACTCAAGTTGAAAAAAGGCCAAAAAATCGTTTATGTCTGCAATTTATTTAATTTATAAAATCATCATTAATAAAACTTCCATATAATT